GGAAACAAACAAACATACAAGATTAGTTTTAGTATTATGTAGATATATGTTAAATACCATGTTCTTTCAGGATCATGGCTTCCTTTTCCTTCTGAATATCTGAATTGCCATGACATCTTGGGGAAGATAATATAATGGTTTTCCATTGTCCTCCTGTCCTGGGTATGACAATAAACTACATCCACATCCTACGTTCAGAACCAAGGCCTCTGATCAGGAGGTTTTAAAGAGCGTGGAACCACCTCTTAATTGCTGGTGTTCCCAGGTCCACCCTGACCCGGGGTGGTAGCACCTGCTAGGGTCCCAGCTATGCGCAAATAGTTAACCCTCAAACTGAGGTAAAAAGCATTATAAAAATGTAAAAATAGTTTTTAATACCAGAAATACTTTGTAAAAAATTATTACCTGAAATAAATTTTTGAAGAAAAAAATATTACCAGCAATACATTTTTTAAAATAATATTATGAGCTATACATTTTTGTGGAAAAAAATATTACCAGAAATAGATTTTTGGCAAAACAAAATATTACCACGAAAAAAGTTGTCAGCATTAAATAATCCATATAGGTTGATATGCCATAAAATACAACAAACCAAACCAATCCATTGTCTTCAATACATTTTTGTAATCAGAAATGGCCTTCTATTAGACTGGCTGCTACACAAAGCTAAAGAGCATTTTGTGAAAAGAAATATAATGGAGGAGGCTGGAAATTAAACTTGATTCTCCATACCAGCTTGAGAATCTTTTATTGAAAATTCTTGTGAACGGAAGTGCTTTGGTTTTAAGATTATATCAGATTTTGGAATGTAGGCTAAAATTTTATATAGCATCTATAAATAGAAATGGAACACAAGCATAAACATGATATCCTTTTACATTTCATGATACAAGGTTAAACATATAGCCTGAAGGTAGTTTTATATAAATAACATATACCCTGAAGGTAGTTTTATATAAATAATAACATATACCCTGAAGTCAGTTTTATATAAATAATAACATATACCCTGAAGTCAGTTTTATATAAATAATAACATATACCCTGAAGTCAGTTTTATATAAACGATTTTTGAAGTCAGTTTTATATAAACGATTTTTGAAGTCAGTTTTATATAAACGATTTTTGAAGTCAGTTTTATATAAACGATTTTTGAAGTCAGTTTTATATAAACGATTTTTGAAGTCAGTTTTATATAAACGATTTTTGAAGTCAGTTTTATATAAACGATTTTTTGAAGTCAGTTTTATATAAACGATTTTTTTCAGTTTTATATAAACGATTTTTGAAGTCAGTTTTATATAAACGATTTTTGAAGTCAGTTTTATATAAACGATTTTTAAATGGAGAAATTAAAATTTCACCAAAAAAGACATGATCACTACTTATAAAACTTTTTAATATCTTTACTGAGCCTGAAACATCTGGTAAGTAATCCACGAACGAAGGAGTTGTTTTGATGATCACTAACAAAAAAAAAAACAGTACCAATGTAAGCTACGTATCTGGGTTGGGAAACCTGAACCCAAGGCAGAGGAGGTCACTTACTAAAGCTGCACATCACCTAGGAACCCTCCCAGTGCTTTCTGAAATGTTCCATTTGTGGCCAATCACATCAACACCTGAAGATCTTTCCGATTTTGGAGGTTTATGGATTCTGGAATTTCAGATAAAGGATACTAAACTTGTACTACATTACCAGCACATACCATTGTGTTAAAAAAATGAAAATAATTAGTAAGATGCATGGCACAGTGGATAAAGGTTAGACAGTGACAGGACCCAAAGAGTGTGAGTTCAATACCCGGTTAAGCCAGTGGAGAAGTTGGAGAGGGGAATTAACAGGAGATAACTGATAACTGACATTCATTAAACATGGTTCATGGAACTAGAACAGTCTACCCCAGTGAGCGAAATAAAGGGTTCAGTTCGACATTCCAACCACCTGAAGAAGGCCAGAGCATACAACAGCTGAAACATAGTAATAAATATGGCAACAAAGATGAGGGCAATAGTCTGAATAATGTAAATAGTGTACATAATACCTTATCTCAGAAATATAGGCAGATACAAAAATATTAATGTTAAATAATTATTAATTAAATAATTAGTAATGTTTAAATACAGAATCTTGCAAGATATTTCTCCCATTTTTCTTTTTTTTCCCTAGTGATTTTATCTCTCCTGCAGGAAAAACTTGGATGATAAACATTGCATTTCTGATGGACACTTTCCACAAAAATATAAAGAAACTAGCAGTAGAGCCCGGCATTGCCCGGGGATGTAACAATAAGAGATAGATCAAGTATCGACCATCATGAAGACTGAAAAATAAAATTGACAAAGATTATTGTTTAAGGTTGACGGACACGCATGTCTTAAGTATTTTTTTTTTTTTTTTTTTTTTACGAATTGGTCAAACCCAAACTCAAACAAAAGCATTATTTTCAATCGTTATGAGTCTACCGATTGAATAGAATTTTATTACAAACAATTGTCTTGTAAATGGAATTTTTAAAGCATTCTGAATGTAAAAAAATAAAAAAAAAAAGTGTGCAAGACAATAAGAAACACTACCTGCCAAAAAAAGTAAAGTTTTTGTTGAAATCAGTTGAAAAATGTAGGAAATCCGATCCCATATATAAATGAACACACACACACACACACACAACCTGGGTTTTAAGTATAACTTGATATGAGTTGTTCCCCTTTCATTCTCGCGATGACTCTTAATCATGTTTTCAAATTAATTTCATGCAAAAACAATTGTGTTTTTCCAATTTTTGGCGCTGTCAGGTAATTTTACGTAGTCCTGTGAAGTTTTGTTGAAATCGGTTGAAAAATGTAGGAAATCTGATCCAATATATAAATGAACAGACACACACACACACACACAACCTGGGTTTTATAATGAGTATGATTTGATGTTTTTACACTTCAAAACAAACACTCTGATATACACTTTTAAATATCATTTGATGAGTTAGAAAAACATAAAATAACGTATTGGCAAAAGTTGCCAACTCCAAAAACATTGGTTAAAAATTAAGCCAATTGGAAAATATCTTGTTAGTGATAGACAAGTTAGTTTTACATTGCGCACTTGAAATTTATTCAGAGGTACAACAGAGGAACGAGAGGTAATACTCTTTATAATCTAAGACATTAGTTTTTTTTTTTCTCTCTCCCTTGTATTCTTACTGCATAGGAAATATATATTTCTTTAAAACAACATGCACTCAAAAAATACTTCATTATTTCTGCCGAGAAAGCAGAGGATAAATAACTAGAAATATTTACTGACAAATGAAGAAGATATTGATTTTTAGAAACGTTTGATAAAAAAAAAGAAAAAATACTGACTGGTAACTTAAAATGTATTACATGAAGAATAAAAATGTATTAAAAAAAAAACAAGCTTTTTGTTGATATATGATTAACAAATAGACTTTTGGTGCGGAAGATTTTGCTTTGAGTACTGATGCCACATTAGGTTTGATACTCCTGCTAAATATTTAGAGACTAGCAGGAGAGCCCAGCGTTGCCCGGGGATGTAACAGTAAGGGATAGATCAAGTATCGACCATCATAAAGACTGAAAAATAAAATTTACAAAGATTATTGTTTAAGGTTGACGGACACGCATGTCTTAATTGTTTTTTTTTTTACGAATTGGTCAAACCCAAACTCAAACAAAAACATTGTTTTCAATCGTTATTAATCAATCGATTGACTAGAATTTTATTATAAACAATTGTCTTGTAAATGGAATTTTTAAAGCATTCTGAATATAAAAATAAAGAAAAAAGTGTGCAAGACAATAAGAAACACTACCTGCCAAAAAAAAAGTGAAGTTTTGTTGAAATCGGTTGAAAAATGTAGGAAATCCGATCCCATATATAAAAGAACACACACACACAAACAACCTGGGTTTTATAATAAGTATAACTTGATATGAGTTGTCCCCCTTTCATTCTCATGATGCCTTTTAATCGTGTTTTCAAATTGATTTTGTGCAAAAACAATTGTTTTTCCAATTTTTGGCGCTGTTAGAACCACCGCAAGGTAATTTTACGTAGTCCTGTGAAGTTTTGTTGAAATCGGTTGAAAAATGTAGGAAATCCGATCCAATATATAAATGTACAGACACACACACACACACAATCTGTGTTTTATAATAAGTAAGATTCTTGATAAAATCCAAAGAATCTGCAATGTTATTAGTCTTGACCTGGCATCTCGGTTTTAGTCACTTTACCATTGTAGTCACATAGTTTCCCTGTACCTTTTCTATAAATAAATGATAATTACTGTGATGAACTTACCTCTGAGTTAGTTCTCTCCCCTATGTCCCACAGACAAATTGTACATATGAGAACTAGTTCAGTCATCATGGAGTCTTTGAGATATTATAGTGACTGTACTAAAAATGGTAAGTAAGAATATGTTGTTTTGGTGTAAGGAATACTGTAGTATATTTGGGTCAATAATTGTGGCTAGTGAAGTTTAAGATAAGACAGATTGAAGACCAGCCTTCTTCCTACCCCTCCTTTTGGCCTTGTGCCACATTTTTGTATTATTCAAAATAAATATTACTTTCCTCTATGGTAACTAGACTTTCTGAATTTAAATGCAATGCTAGATTGGCTGCAAGATCTCATTTTACAGTTGAAATGGCTAAATGTTAGTGTAACTCGTATGCTAATAGTTTTTCTATTACACGTCTCACTTGTTGAACTCTCTTCTGGCTTTTTGCTTCCCAGTTAAATTTGATCTTCAAAAATTTAAATGCAATGTCAGTCATTATCTTCTGTCTTTTTAATTCCTTTTCTTTTATTTTTCTCTCTCCTTAATAGTATTGTTTTTTTTTTTTTTTTCTCATATTCTTTCATACTCAGTAACCCCTACATAAAATTTCAGCCGTCAAAGCTTTTGTTAATAGTTCATTAAACAAAAAAAGCTAAGATATGAGGCTATGAGTCAAATAAAAAATTGCAGGTCTCTATTTCTCTCATTATCTTTCTTATTTCTTCTTTCTCCTTTCTCTTTCTTTCTCCTCTTTCAATACTTTTGTCTCTTTCTCCTCTTTCAATACTTTTCTCTTTCTCTCCCTTCTTTTTCTTTCCCCTTTCTCTCCCTTCTCTTTCTTTCCCCTTTCTCTCTCTTCTCTTTCTTTCCCCTTTCTCTCCCTTCTCTTTCTTTCCCCTTTCTCTCCCTTCTCTTTCTTCCCTTTTTTCTTCTTTTTTCTTCTTTCTTTATTTCTTTTTCTTTCATCATCTTTCTCCTTTCATCTTTCTCCTTTCTCTCCTTTCTCTTTCACCTTGTTTCCCTTTCTTTCTCCTTGTTTCCCTTTCTTTCTCTTTCTCCTTGTTTCCCTTTCTTTCTCTTTCACCTTGTTTCCCTTTCTTTCTCTTTCACCTTGTTTCCCTTTCTTTCTCCTTGTTTCCCTTTCTTTCTCTTTCTCCTTGTTTCCCTTTCTTTCTCTTTCACCTTGTTTCCCTTTCTTTCTCTTTCACCTTGTTTCCCTTTCTTTCTCTTTCACCTTGTTTCCCTTTCTTTCTCTTTCACCTTGTTTCCCTTTTGCCTTCTTTCTCTTTCCCTTTCTTTCTCTTTCTTGTTTCTTTCTTTCTCTTTCTCTTTGTTTCCCTTTCTTTCTTTTCACCTTTTTCCTTTCTTTCTCTTTCTTGTTTCCCTTTCTTTCTCTTTCTCCTTCTTTCCTTTCTTTTCTTGCCTTCTTTCTCTTTCTTTCTCTTTCACCTTGTTTCCCTTTCTTTCTCTTTCACCTTGTTTCCCTTTCTTTCTCTTTCACCTTGTTTCCCTTTTGCCTTCTCTCTCTCTCTTTCTTTCTCTTTCTTGCCTTCTCTCTCTTTCTTTCTCTTTCTTGCCTTCTCTCTCTCTCTTTCTTTCTCTTTCTTGCCTTCTCTTTCTTTCTTTCTCTTTCTTGCCTTCTCTCTCTTTCTTTCTCTTTTGCAGTTTACCTTTGTATGATTATTGTTACCTTGAGTGCAGGTGTTTAATAGGGTAGTTGATTAGTAATGAACCCATCCCTAATGGGATGGTTTCTGTCCACTGTAGCAGAAAAAAAGAACTCATTAACATGATAATTAGAAAATAGAGTGAAAGAAGAAGTAGAAAGAAACTTCAAAAAGTGTGGGTGGGAAGCGATAGGTGAGATGAAGACTAGTTGAGAGGAAAGAGATGGAGACCATGTATGAAGGAAGAAAAGACACGGAGAAGTAGTGATAGAAAGATGAGAATGGTGTGGAAAGAGATGGCACGTGAGAGTAAAGTTATAGTGGTGATAATAAACTAAGAAGGAGAGAGAGAAAGATGAAGAACAAAGGAGGAGCAGTGAGAGAGAGAGAGAGAAAAAGGGGTGAGGTGAGAGTATAATTGGGAAAGGTAGTAGGAGATTGGAGAAAATTTAGTGAGGAAGAATCAGGTAAAAAAAAAAAACTACTGGAGGAGGAGGAGGAGAAGTAAACAGAAAATGTTTTAGAGTGAGTGGGGAAAGGGACAGAGAGCAGAAAGAGGATAAGTAGCAAGAAAGAGGGATAAGTTACAGTTGGAAGAAAGATAAGGGTGCAAGTGCAAAGAGGTGAGTACAACAACTGAGAATGTCAGAGGGAGTGGTAGACAGAGGAGAGTAAGGGTAAAAGAGGTGGGGAAAAGAAAGATTCTTGAAAGAGTAAAGATTATGATGAGGAGGAGGAGATGAGCAGGTAAGGGGAGATAGTGAGAGTGAAAAGGGAGAAGACAGTTTGTAAAAGGAAAAGGACAATAAGAAAATAAAATAAAAGATGTGGAGAGGTCAAGATGGCGGAAACACTCAAAATGAACAAAGAGCAAGTAAAGAAAAATGGCGATGAATGAGAATGAGCCAAAAAATTCACAAACTTGTTGGGAACAGAAAAAATATTACTAACTCTATGACAGTTGGTAAATTTGTCTCTTTTTCTTATGCTTATTAGCAAAGCATATAAATAACCAGTTTAAAAAACAACCCTATCAGGCGTCATTTAAGCTAGCTCCTGAGGAGGGCTCTTGACTAGACCTTCAGCTTGTTCAGAAGTTTGAGAATCCCTAAGTCTTTGCATATTCTCAGCACTGGAAGCTCACCTGGCTACTGTTTGATCTGTGTTTTCATTTGCATGGTACTTTCTTTTCCTCACTGCAGTCTTGGATCTTTGGATTGCAATCTGGTTCTCTGTTGACAGATTTCTTTTTACGAGGTCTAGTGCTGCCATATGTAATAGGCAATAATAAACTTCAGAAGAACTCAAAATTGATTGCTGCATTTAAGTATTGCATTAATATTTAAGCTTACCTTTTAAAAGTTCAATGATAATTCTTCTGTCGCCACTTAATTTAAAGACAATTTGATATACATTGGTCCTTACTTTCCATACAAACAATTATTTTTATTTCATGGGTGACTTTTGCTGAATTTTGCAATTAATTTCAATTAATCCCAAATTTATTTCCAAGTTATAAAAATTGTTATTGTACAAAAAATCTTGTCACAAAAAAATCATGTTAAAAAAAAAATCACCAAAAACAATCATGAAAATTTGATAATCCAAAATTTCAGAATTGTGGATCCAGATCTGGCTCAGAATGTTAATTTGCTCACAGAGTTGGCCTGATTCCAAAATGGTATGATATATGTATGTACACACACACACACACACACACATAAAAGGTTAATGGTCAGAGCTGTATCAGACCAGGAAACAGTCTTATAAAAAGTGCTCAATACACGTGATGAAATAAAAATAACATATAGAGCTTTAAACTTTCAAAATTAGGAAGTCAGATAGAATACACAACCTTGGTTTCAATCTCACTGTCTTATCAGGCTAATTTTATATATATAATTATAAAAAAAAATAAAAATAACATGTAGATCTTTAAACTTTCAAAATTAGGAAGTCAGATAGAATACACAACCTTGGTTTCGACCTCACTGTCTTATCAGGCTAATTTTATATATATAATTATAAAAAATAAATAAAATAACAACCTTGGTTTCGACCTCATGGTCTCATCCAACAAATTCTATCAATTTGTCATCCAACACTTTATTTAAAAAAAAACAAAAAAAAAAACATAAAAAATATGACATTATTATTTTTCAAAAAAAAAAAAATATATTTCTGAGATGAGGCATTGCGGCTATTTACACTATTTAGTCCTTGTCTTTGTTGTCGTATTCATGATGTTTCAGCCATTGTACGCTCCGGCCTTCATTAGGTGATTGGAATTTCGAACAGAACCATTTATCTTGTTCACTGGGGTGGATTGTTCTATTTCCACATCTCTTCCAGATATTCTGGTTTCAGTTATTTCCCTTTAGCAACTCAACTTTCCAGGTTTTTGTTCACCTCTGCTATGGCCAGGTTTTAAACTCACATCTCATTAGGCCATGTCACTGGGTTATTTCAACCAATGCTTTTATCCACTGGAATATATATATATTGTCATCCACAGACAGATTGTTTTGCTGTATCACAGCTCATCAGTGTGGTTAAATGTCCGGTTGCCTCTAACTATGATCAAAACCCAACTGAATTGCATCAGTTGGGGATTCTACCACTAAGCTGTTGGTGCACAGCAGGGATGAAGGTGAATTTAAGCGTATTTATTTTTAGATAAACACACAGTGACTGAGAGAACTCTATTCGATTTACCAAAGAGTCTTGCATTATTAGCTGTAATATATTTCTGTTTATGCTATTTTTTATGGATATGAACCTCGGCCTCATGGTCAGCCACGAGTCTATATATATATATATATATATATATATATATATATATGTATAAATAAGTTTTTCGTGGTACAGAATTTAATGATTGCTAGAAAAAGATAATAAGAAGGCATTTTTAAAAGCAAAAGCCAAAATAAAACTACTGGTTTTGTCCCAGGACTTATCAAGTTATTTATTCTGGGAATTTAAAAGCGTGTAAATTAATTTTAATTAACAAATGTAATTAAATGGGGAGAGAGGAAAAAAAAAATTATGAATTTCAAGGAGACTAGAGCCCAATAATATTCAGACCCAGCTTAAATTCATAATTTTTTTTTTTTTAAAAATGCCTTCTTATCTTTTCTAGATAAAATATATATATATATATATATATATATATATATTTCTGTTTATATGCTATTTTTTTATGGGTATGAACCTGGGTCTCATGGTCAGAAAGCGAACGTTCTAACCACTCAGCCATGATATATATATATATATATATATATACACATGCACATATACATATATATATATATATATACACATGCATATATATATATATATATATATATATACACATGCACATATATATACATACATACACACATGCACATATATATATATATATATATACACACACAAACAACAATTGTGGGACAGAGGGAGCAATAAAAAGACCAAACTGAGCTCAAAGGTTCCAAAATTCTTAGAAAGAATCAATGTCTGTGAGGCAGGATGCAGGATTTCACTTGGAATTAATGTCTTTGGTGTTTTAAATTTCATAACAAACTGCCGAAAGTGAGTTATTTTGAAAAATTCTTGCATACAATGTTTGGCCAAATTTCCAGCATGTGTCTTTCTATATAAAGTTACCTTACATCATCTTTGGCAGTATTCAAATTTCTTTTTATGTCCAAGAGTTTGCCATAGGTTATTAAGGCTGAGAAATCATTGGAAAATGTACTTGCTAATACCAGTAGTGTTCCTAATACTATGGATTTTTATTTTATAAATGCTATGTTCCTTCAGAAGATCATAGCTCTCCACAGCTTCCATCTCTAATATTGGTAAATTGCTATGACTTTTTGGGAAAGGGAATTGTGTAGTTTGCCCACTGCATTCTCAATGGATTTGAATTTAGAGAAGTCCTTCTTTCAGATTGGCTACCATCAAGACTTGACTACCTAGTCTACCCTGCTATTTAATCCTTAGTAAGTGGATAGGTAGAGGATATGGATTTATACCTTTCCCAAGGGTATGTGTGCAAAAGTGAATGCAATAGGCTCATCAATATATATTCCATTGTTTACTTATTTTAGTGATGATAGTCTTTTTAATGTCATGTTTTTTTCCTTTTTCTTTTTTTTCACCTTTTTTCTTCTTTCCTCCCTTTTTTCTTTATCTTTTTCATTTTTCTTCTTTTCCTCTTTTTCTTCTTTTCCTCTTTTTCTTCTTTTCCTCCTTTTTTCTCCCCCTTTCTTCTCCCTCTTTCTTTTTCTCCTTTTTTTGCCTTTTCTTTTTTCTCCTTCCTTTTTCCTTTCTTCTCCTCCTTTATTCTCCTTGTTCTTTTATCTCTTTTTTTCTTTCCTCTTTTTTCTTTCTTTCCTCTTTTTTTTCTTTCTTTACTCTATTTTTTTCTTTCTTTCTTTACTCTATTTTTTTCTTTCTTTCTTTACTCTATTTTTTTCTTTCTTTCTTTACTCTATTTTTTTCTTTCTTTCAATCCTCACTGGATTCACCCAACTCATCATATTTATTTCTTTTTTTCCAGGAATTATTGGCTCGGGCGTCACTGGAAACAGATAAGCGGGACTTGATGGCAGAAGTGACGAGTTTAAAAATCAAATTAACGTCTGCAGAACGAGACAGGCATGAGCTTGAGGACCAGCTAAAAACAGCCCAGGTAAAAAAAACAAAAAACATGAATTATTCTCTAAAGATGAACTTCAAAACTTTCATGGCTAAAATAATATTTCTTATCCTGTAATGCGTAATGCAGACATGTGGGTGCAGGTGTGTGCAGCAGTTATCAATGCTGAGGTTACTTTTTAAAAAAGGCATGAATCCACCTCTACCTGCTCTCTGTTCCATCTTGCCAAACCTTGTTGGTTGAGACTTATACCCAAAAGTTTGTCACAAGTTTTCAACAGTCTTGTTAATTAAATAGCTATTATTTCTTCTCTCTGTAGTTAGAGGTAAAATAGCAGTGTAGACAGTGCTCTCTAGCCTTGACTTGCCTGACTATTTAAACTGCCAGGATAGGGGGA